CTGACCCGTGCTTGCTGCTCCGGTCCTGCGCTGCAGGTCTCCCGCCCGTCCTCTGCCCCTGCCGGACCTTCTTCCTGCTGCCTGCGCTGGAGCTGCTGTTTCTTCCCTCCTTAATACTTGACCTCTCCCGCTTCCGGTTCCCTGTCTTGGGACCCTGTTTGTTTGTCCCACTCTGCTTCGAGGCTGTAGTTAATTGTTAGTGTTTTTTGCTCGGAGTTCGTCCGGATGAACTTGGTCTACTTTGCCCATCACGGTGCACGCAGCGTGCCTCAAAGCACCAGGTTCGGTGCACAGTAGGTGCTCAATGTGTATCGTTAAGTTAACGAATTAGTTAAATTAATTAACTGTCAGTCTGTTTGGGCTGCTATAACCGAATTCCTGGGAAGTCTATAAACAACAGATCTGTCACCTTCTCGGGGACCCGGAAGTCCAAAACCAAGGAACCAGAGAGCTGCTGCTCCTCTCGGTCTGGTCTGTCTCAGCCTCTTCCTGAGGTGCCTCCTCACCTCCCACAGCCCAGCCTCTTGGCTTACACAGCACCTTGGGAGTTGGGTGTCAGTGCAGGAATTTTAAAGGGCCCAGCTGTTCAGCTTGGACTGTTCAGGAAGTAGTCAAGCAGAATGCGAGGCTCTGCAGCGGATTGCTAAAGATGAGCACCTGCCCACGTGGTGCACGGTGACGGTCGTGATGTTCGTGATGTTCACAAGGTTAGTGAGACAGGTCTTTGGGAAGTGAGTGTGTCTTTGTTAAAAAGTGATTTGTGCTGTGGTCACTTCACACACATGCATAACTTAGTGATGTCCAGTCGTTTGGGTAAGTAAACGTCACTCAAGATTGCGAGTGTCCGGCCATTTCTCAGCCGCAGCAGTTTTCGTCTGAAGGCCGTGCAAGTGAGCTGTCGGTCTCAGGTGACACAGAGAGCTGAGTGCCCACGGTAACGTCCTGCCTCTTTTCTGTGCCTCCCACCCCACTTCCATCACTCCCTTCCATCCAGCTACCTCTTGATAAAAGCAACTTTAAATGATGAATGAAACAACCCAAAACAGATAGGTCTTAGGGTTTTAACTTTTGCAATGTGCCAAACTTCCCACTAATGTCTTCAAAATTGATCCATTTTTAGACTTTCTCAGTTTTTCCTCCCTCCCCTTTTTGACTCTCAGTATGTCTGTAGTACATGCACAGTACTCCTCAAAGGAATAGCGGCGCTTGGTTTAGGTACATTTCCGTGTAATATATGATTCAGTGTCATGTGTTGGGTATGTTTAATAAATGCTCTGAAGATTTCATAGCTGCTCACGAATTGGAAGGACTCTGCAGTTCCTTAAAACTGAAGAGATATTTGGGATTTATATATTATTTATTTTGATTGTCCAGAATGGAAATATTCAAGTCAGTAATGGGCCTATTTTTATTAACTATTAGCAGAATGTACAGCTAGAGCTACAAATGTTCCAGCTCTTCGTAGCTCTAATGAGTCACCCTGTTCAGAGAGTTGTGGTCATAATTTTGGTCTTCCCTGTAGGCAGTGAAGTTGTAAGCTTTTGGTTTCTGTTTATTTTGGCCTTTAAGAAGGTTTTCTGCAGGGGTAACTGGACTTTGTGTGCAGGTAAAGTATGTGTTCAAACAATTTTGCATTGCAAATCTCACTGTTGTAGTCAAGGTTTCCAGGGGAATAGATTTAATACGGAACACATAATTTATGGGGTTATTATATAATATTCACCCAAGCAGTCAAACGTGGAGGTGTAGAGGAAGGAGGTCTGTTCACACACTAGAGACCCAAAGCATCCAGCCGAGGGCCTGGATCCCACAGCACAGTCCCGCTGAAGGCCAGGAGCCCAAGGCAGTGTCCTCCGTGAATCCAGCTGGAGGCCCGGAGCCCACGGCACTGTGTCCTGCTTGTCCACATCGAGTATCTGCCTTGGGAAGGCCTGAGGGCCAGGGGAGGAATCGGGAAAGCCTGCGCTGTTGGGATGAAGGGTCTGTGCCACCAGGCTGAGGGATCTGCACTGGAGCGAGAAAGCGATGCTCAAGCCTGAAGATAAGGACTCCCCTGACAGAACCTCAGTCATTCCTTGTGACAGTGAGGACCCGAGCTCCTCTTATGACAACGACCAAATCCATATCAGGAAACCAGCCGTGTCAAGCCTCCCAAAGAGAATCAGCAGCCCCCATGTTCCCCTCCAGCAGCAACCCTTAGGTGGTCTTCCATGCCCAGAGCCACACTGACTCAGTTCAGCTGGACAGTTCAAGTTGACCATTAGTTAATCCACCACACTGACTTTAAAGGATTCTTTGCCACTTATAAATTTTAGCCTCAATTTAAAAGAAATACTATGTGCGATGTGTATTTGCTTTGATTAAAATAATTTTGTATAATCACTATAAGAAAATTAATTCCATGATTGGCTGTTTAAAGCATACATGTCTAAAAGAGCATTCTTATTAGATCAATACAATATATTGTTTAGATACACAGATGGATCCTGTACTTTCAGTAAAACTCAGTCACTAAAATAGTGTAAGGATTTTTTTTCTGTTTTTTGTGAGTTGCTTTTTCATACATTGCATATAAATAATTTATTTTGTAACATGTGTCTAACCTGTGAAGTGATTTTTGGAAAGCATTTTGTAAGGCTGCAAAGTGCAAAACAAATGTAATATTACACATACGTACACCAGCTATCGTGCAGTGTTGCATTAAGAAGCATTACTTTGTAAAATCTTTCCTCTTAAGGTGCAACACACTTTGATATAGTTTTTTTTGTTTGTTTTTGGTTTTTTGAGACAGGGTCTTGTCCTGCAGTTCAAGCTGGCCTTGAACTCCCAGCAACCCTCCCACCTCAGCCTCCCGAGTGCTGGGATTATAGGTGTGCACCACCACCCTGACGATATAGTTATTTTCATGTAACTTTACAATGACTAACTATAATATAAAATACCTTTAAAAATTTAAAAATGTATATTTTCTAAATTTAACAAATGAAAGCAAATGTTATTTATGCTCATTTCTGAGACCTGCTCCATCAAACCAGGGAGGAGGACAGCATGCCTGTTTTGCCATGTTTTTTTAGCTTTATGGATTTGTGAGACACTCTAGGCTTAACATTGGTGTTGAGCTAGTGTCTCAGTCACTTTCTTGTTGCTAGGACGAAGCACTGGACACCTACAATTTAAGGGAGGAGGAGTTTATTTTGGCTCACGGTTTAGTCAGTGGTCTGCCGGTTGCAGAGCAGGAACGTGTGGCAGAGGCCTGGCGGAGGAAAGCTGCACCTGTCAGGGTGGCCGGGAGGGAGGTGCCTTTGCAGGTCACCCTGGCGGTGGTCCAGCTCCTCAGACCAGGCCCCTCCTCCTCACAGCACGCGCATCTCACTCCTAGTAATGCTCCCATGGTCCGGTCACCCTGGAGCTAAACCCTGACAGCTGGTTAGGGGCGGATTGAAGAAGGTCTCTGGGCTCCCTCCACACTGTTCTTCACCTAGGTCTGCGTGTGACACTGTGCTGAGGTGGAGACCGAGGCTCACAGGTTTGGGGATGGCTAGTTTTTAATACCGAAGTACAGAAAGTAGAATTTTTTTTGTTGTTTATTAAGGGCATATTAGGGCAAATAATTCTGTATTCTTCATTTAGGCTGCTGTGTCTTAAGCATGACACCAACTGGAAAAAGGAAGGGTAATTATGAGAAAACCTTTATGAGCCCATTTAAATAAAGAGAACTGAGAACATGCTTGAACATACAGGAAAGGAGGTTAATAACAGCAGCAACACAAACCAAGAAAGAAAGCATTTTGATGTAAAAATTGCCAAAGCAACATAAACAGAAAATGGAAAAAAAACAAGCTAGATTCTCCTGCACATACCTGTAATCCTGACTGCTGGGACTACAGGCATGTGTCAGCATACCTGGTGCATACAGTTTGATTGATTGATTGATTGATATCAGGTATCGAACTCGGGTCCTTGTGCTTGTGAGGCAGGCAGCAGAATCACTGAGCCAAATCCCTGGTCCTAGTTTTATTTTTTTAAAGAACAGTTTTAGAATTACCGAAAAATTAGTACAGAGTTCCCCTATTATTAACATTTTAATTAGTATGCTGTACTTGTTAGAGTTAAAGCAGTGTCACTACATTATCGCTAAAGCCCATACTCTTTTTAGATTTCTTTAACTTTTACCTAAGAACCTACATTCTTCTGATCTGAGATTTCATCCAGGATTTTTCCCCATTCTCTAGGTAGTGAGCCCCATAAGGAAAATGTTTCACTTCTTGTACAAGAGCCCTTAGTAAAACAGGTTAATTGCCAAGTCACTGAATCTCATTGGCCAGGAGCTCTTTTAGCTATTCAAAGCAGAAAAATGTAGCTGAACTTAACAATCATGCTGTTAGGTTTTCTGAGCATCTCTAAGACTTATTTTTCTTTTGAGTTTCGTCAAAACCACTTCAAATAATATTTCTGAAATATTAATTCAAAAGTGCCATTTCCCACTGCAGTGGTATGACTGTTGTGTCATATGTGTTTTTAATTCACTTCAGTAATTTAATGTCTGTGGACTTAACCTGTTAGACCAGAAACGGAAAAAAATTGATTTTCCCTAATGGTTTTTTTTTTGTTTGTTTGTTGGTACCGGGATCCTTGCACTTGCAAGGCAGGCGACGGAACCACTGAGCTAAATCCCCAGCCCTTCCCTAATGTTTTAAAGAAAAAGTCTGTGAGTCTATAAAAATCTGAGTCTAACCTGGGAATCACACCTTGTTCTCACATTTTCCGTAAAACAAAAAAGGAATTTATTTTTTCCCTTCATTGCCCCCTTTTAGACGAGAGATCGGTCCCTAGATGAGGTGAAAAATCCTTCGAAGGTCCTGTTTCTATAAATCCAGACCGTGTGTGTTTTTCTTGCCTGTTTCTGAAGGGTAACGGAGCAGTGAGGATTAGAAGTGAGCTGCAGCAGGGCCGCAGGAGTCTCAGGGCTTTGGCAACCCTCCCTCGGTCCCTCCCTCGCTCCCTCCCTTCCCGCGGAAGCATCGCAGATCTGGAGCCGAGCACGGGGCTGCGCTTTAGCTGACAGGTCTTAAATTCCGCTCTGCAAAGAAGCCCCGGCAGCTTCCGTGCTTGTACCTGATAATTGAGAGTCTCATTGTAGGCTCGGGAATAAAACAAATGGAATCTTTCTGTTGGCTCTCGTACTGAAGAGTGTCTCTTCTTGTTGCATTTTTAAAATACCTGATTTAAGAGAGGAAAAGACATCTTCATAGTGGAACTGTATTCTTTCCTCCCAAGTTACAGCCGCTGTAAATCTGTGAGTATGTGGTATTTATTCGGCAGTTCCCGGGGGCATGATTACGAGTTTCTCTTGAAATCTGTGAGGATGCAAGGAAAGCTGTGTAAAATTTTTAAACCAGAGTTAAATGTCACGAGGCACCCGCAGGTTTTGTTAGATGATGTCGTCTTCATGAAAAGCTGCTTGTCCAGCTTGCCAGGGTTTCCCCGCACCCCTCCCCTCCTTTAACTTTCCACAGCTGAGTGCTGTCATTGGAGAAAGCTGCTGTGCTGTGCGGAGTCTGGTCTTTCTGGGGTGCCATGCTGGTTTCCTGCTGCTGTGAGGTGTCCTTGGAGACTGCAGAACAATGGCAGGCGAGGATGGCTGGTATTGTAGTTGACTCATCTCCTGTCGCGTCGTCGCTGGCTTCTTTGTGGTGCCTTGTTTTGTTAGGGTGACCACAGTCTTACTGATGAGCGAAGTTGCGTGCCCTCCTGAATAGCTGGTGGTGCCGGCCCTGGACCTTCCCCTCTGACTGTACAGGCTCTGGAGCCGGTTGTGAGAAATTCTGGCTTCCCGAAAGTGACCTTCATATGACCACCTTTTCCACTGCTGCAGTGGAGTTAGTGACAGTTTTGTTATTTTGGTTTTTTGTGACGCAGACCATAAAGTCTAAACATCTAGTCATTGCGTCCCGCATTTAGCCTTTGGAATTCATTGGCAGCCACAGCTGTATTCTTCCTGAATTACAAGTGAATGAATTTTGAACAGTTTGTAAGGATAGAGGCTGAGTTTTTATTCCAGTGTAACCCTCGTTTGTTCTTGTCTTTGTTAAAAGTCATTATTTTAGTGAACTGATCTTCTCATTCCTGTATCTTAAAACCACATTAAAATGATCTTTAAAAAATCTCTATGTTCAGAGGTTAGTAGTCAAAATACTTTTAAACACCAAATGGGAACAGTCATCTTTGCAGATACAGAATATGTTTGGATTAGGCTGACATATTAAATGAGCTTTTTAGGTGCCAAGATTTTGGTTATTTTCCTGCAGTACAAAATAAATGTAGCATTTTTAAAAAGAATTTTTTTTACCACCCAGGGATCAAACATCTGTTGTTTTTATTTTTAAACATTTTTTCATACCTTAATGCAGCTACTTTGAATTTAATTAAAAAGGCTGCTAAAATTAGTAAATTCTGCCTAACTCACACTTGCAAAGAGCTTCTGTTCATTCAGTTATTCATTCATTCAGCAAATGTTTACATTTGTTACAAAGCTCTTACCCACCTCTGAGGAAATAATGCTGAACAAAATATATTTGGTCTCATGGAGCGGATATTTTTAGCAGGTAAGGGAGGGATTTAAAAACCACTGGAGATTTCATTACACTTTTTGTAATTTTTTCAGCTGTCATAGGACAGCTACTCTGTGGCCATACACGGGACATACAAACACTGGCATCTGAGTCTGTGCCATGTCTGAAGCCACAGATCCTTTGAAAGTTTGAGCTGGAAAGAGATGGTAGGAATAAGTTAATGATTTTAGCGAGCATGTGATAGGCACTCTAAGTGCTGGGTTTAGATTAGTAAATAAGAAATGATCCCTGTTTGGAGGAGACCAAAGTCTAGTGGGAGAGGAAGGGGATTTGGTTATGTTCATACATTCTGTCATCGTTTTTCCAACTTAGAGGTGAAGAAATGAATGAGATCCCTTTTCGGATGTTTTTTGTGCCAGGTCAGGTACTTGTGCTTAATCTGTATTTTGTTCTTTTAAAAATCTTTTAACAACTGTCTTGTCACTCTGGATTTGCAGATGAAGAAAACAAGTGACACAAAGATTTCATCCTGTGCCCAGGGTCACTCAGGGTGCTGATGGTGACTCCATCATGATGAAAGCTGGCGAAGCAGTGTTCCTGGGGGTGCTCTAGCCTAGCTCAAGACAGGTTGACATGCTGGACAGGATAGAGCTGTGTGTATTAGAGCTATCTCACCAAACTAACATCAAGGCCTTCCTCAAAATGTCTGGTGCCTCTGGGCACTAAATCAGATGAGCAGATCCTCAGTTGTGCTATTCTGCCATCTTAGCCAGAGAGACTTTGGTGCTTAACTAACTGAGAAGGACCATACAGAACGTGAGTTTGACAGGAATTTCACACATGGTTTACTTTTGCTTTGATATTCCATCAGTTCACAGGTGTAGAAAGTCTTTAGTGACCATTCGGGTATGGTATGAATGGGTTTCTGTGGTGATCATTTTAGATTAGGGGTTATAGAATGGCGTATTTGAAGTTATTGTAGGTGACTGCATTTTAGAAAACAGAAGCCCCAGGTTTGAATTGCTCTTGCGGTTTGGGGCTCTAGTTGTTATCTTCTTAGCTGATGGGTGGGGCAGAATTTGATCCTTTCTGTGCCCAGCAAACCAGAACCTAACAAATAGCATGTATTTGTCATTATGCCTCCTTACTGTTAGCTTAGGTTTGCTGCTGTTTTTTTTTTTTTTTTTTTTTTTTAAGCAGTAGTACCCCTGTATAGCAAAACCATTTTATGTGCCTGCTTCATACCACAGGCTGAATAAATACTTACATCAACTATGAAAATAGCCACACATCGAAAAGCTGAAGAAGATTAAGCTCTGGGGTTTATTTACTGGAGTGTGTATGTGCTTTTCATTCTGTTCCATTGTTTCTCCTATTGATAGATGTTTGTAGGGAAATCCCTTGAATTTACTGAGGGCTGCTCGTTAGTGAACGGGGTCTGTGTGAATAATGCACATAGGTGTGTTCCACGGTCTGCCCACGTGATGTAAAGTGCCGCACAGGAAGACCGTGGCACCAGGGTGCTGACAGAATCAGTAGACATGTCATTCACTTACCAGACCCTCACTGAGCATCCCTGGGTGAAGGCAGTTCCTGCCATAAGAAGTTCATGAGCTGCTCATCACGGCCACAGAGAAGACTGACAGTGATCCTGGGACGAGCTGCAGCCCGAGCGGAGACACAATGATGACTTCAGTGGCTTTGATTTCTTGTCCTCCTCACAGAAGAGGCAGATGAAAGGAAAACTTGTTTTTGCCTTTTTTTAGGGGGGCGCTGGGGATCGAACTCAGAACCTTGTGCTTGGGAGGCAGGCAGTGGCACCACTGAGCTAAACCCCCGGCCCCAGTTTATGTCATTTTAAAAAATTATTTTTTGTTTTAGAATGTAATGTTTTAAAAGCCAACTTGTGGGCTGGGCGGGGTGTCCCATGCCTATAATCCCAGCATTCAGGAGGCTGAGGCAGGAGAATTGCTGTGAGTTGGAGACCAGCCTGGCTACACAGTGAGTTCCAGGTCAGTCTCAACTACATAGTGAGACCGTGTCTCAAAAAAAAAAAGACAACTTGTGTCACACCGAGCACCTGCCTTTGCTGTGGGTCCTCACTTGGAGGAACATGGTGGAGCTGACACATGCCGCTTGGCAGTCTCTGCCCTGACTGCTGCAGAGCACGCAGCAGAGCTGCTGAGGGCAGCAGTGTCATCCTTCCAGGGGAAGCTGGGCTCGCCCTTCTCTCTTTGGTGACATCAGTCCCACCTGCAGCCCCTCCTCTGTGTGACGTTTCAACTTAGAAGGCGGCTTTGTAAAACGGGCACGTTTTCCGCATAACACCTCTGTGAGGGGACAGGCCAGGGGCTGCCTGTCCTTTGCGTTTGCAGAGGAGGACACTGTGGCCCCCAGCGGTGAGCGCATGGTCCAAATTCACACTGCTTGCAGGGAGGGAACCCAGCTTGCTGAGTGTCCTCGCATGCTTTCTTCTAAGACGCTGCAGCCTTGTGTCAAGGAAAGGCAGGCCAAGATGAGGTAGGAAGTTTCTGTGAAAAGTGAGCAAGCCTTCCCCTAGCTAGGGATTTGCTTTTTATTTAAAAAAAAAAAAAATCAGCAAAGAGAACACATCAAAACAAAACCTGGAGCCTTATACATCTGTCACCAATCCAACATTTTGCTGTTGTTTGTTTTAACTAATGGAAGGAATCTGATTTGCTTTGCCCAAGATGCTGGCTGTGGTGTGGTCTCTGTTCCCTTCTGTGTTGGTGAGGGGCTGTGACTGTGGGCGAGGAGGACAGCGTCTTTGGGGAGAGTTTCTTTTTCTTTTTCTTTTTTGGTACCGGTGATTGAACGCAGGATCTTGAGCTTGTGAGGCAGGCGTGGTGCCACTAAGCTAAATCCCTGGCCCCCCACCTTCAATTGGCTCATATTTTTCATGAAAATGAGCTTTAGTTCTTTGCAGCTATTTTCACTTTGCTCTTGAATGGCTGTCACCATTGAGAATGGACACACATACACAGATCCACACCAAAACCAAAACCCCAGCACACTAAGTTGTCAATTAAAGATCATGACATTTGTTGAATTTCATTTTCTTTTTTTTTTAGTCCTGGGGATTGAACTCAGGACCTTGCTCTTGCAAGGCAGGCGGCGGTACCACTGAGCTGAATCCTGGGCCCTGTTCATTTCAGTTTCTTTTGGAGTGACTCAGGTTTTGGGAGGCCAGGGAAAGTAAATGGCCAGTCAGGTAAAATTTACACTCTGCATCAGACCTCTGTCTCCCTCTCAGGTTCTCTGCTTTCTCCAAGATGATGTCAGGCAGGAACAGCAGTGTAGGGTGCCGCTCTGGTCTGAGAGCCGCTTTGTGTGAGTCCCGGCTGTGTTCGGGCACTGACCTTGCTCTGGGCCTCGGTCCCTCTGGCTGTGGTGCGCCTGTGACCCTGAGAGCGTGGTGTCCCCTCGGTGTTAGCTGGTCCTCAGATGCCTGAGATCCTGTGCCTGCTCCCAATTGATCTCTGTCTCCGCCCTCTGCCACTCAGCTAGCATTTGGAAGAGTCTCATTTTGTGAAAATTGGAAACATACAGAAAAAGTACAAGACTCTCTTAATCCAGTTTTGATATTTTGTCACATTTATCATTTTCTCCATATATATTAGTATGTGTTTTTTTGTGTGCCATTTGAGAACAGGATGCGGCTGCAGAAAAGGTGGCCTAGAAGGGTGAATTTGGATTTTCTAAG